CAGAGCATTTAAATGCACAAGTCTCCCTTCTGAATCTAGCCACAACGTACCACTTGGATCTCAGAAGGCATTTAAACAACCCAGTGACACTGACCTGCTTTAGCTGTGGCAAGTTACAGTGCTTGATGTCTCTGGGCAATACACCTTGTAGTTGTGTGACATGGTTGACTGTCCACTTTTAGGAATAAGTTAGAGAAAGACTTGTATGGGATGGTTTGGATAGAGATGATCCTACTCAATCAGGGGGCCAACTAGGTGACCTCCAGAGGTCCCTTCCAGCCCTACTTTTCTATTATTTTAAAGTTGATAAAAAAATAAATGGAGTGTGTGTTCCTTTTTATTACAATTTCGCTGAGCTGTACTATTTACTGGTAGACCAACCTGCACATCCAAACCATTATCTTCTGTGAAGAGTTGGGCACCAAGTTCTTCTTTTTCCCATGGATCCAAGACCAATGATTTTCTGACTTTCTTACTAGAAGTGTGCTTTTTTTTTTTTAAATAAAAGAAAAAAAATTGAAAAGTTACTATAGAAGTTGACATTTTTTCCTTTCTACACTACAGTAGTTACTGCAACATTACCTCTTGCTTGCAGGTTTTATAGACAGAGTCATCTTCCTCCTTGAGGAATATGTCTGTTCCAGTTTCCTCTTTTAAAACTTCTCTGATATCTTCTTCCAAGAAGGCAAGTGGTTGCGACTAATTTTAAGTTAACACAAGGAGGAATATAGGAACACAAACAGAAAAATCAATTACTAGTTCACCGCATTAACTATATTCATTTAGATTACTACAGACATTATTATATATTCTATGGGAGGTGAGAAAACTAAGGGAATTACCAACAATTTAGCATGTACCCAATTACTACAGTTCAACTGTTGAAGGCAGAACCAATTTTAGAATATCATATTACTCCACACTGTTTTTTAGCTACATGCAATTAAATGTAAACTAAAGCAAGATAACTCCAAAGAGGGACCTTTCATAACAACTACACAGTCAGTCATGATGCCTTTGGTTAAAATTTATTTTCTTCCAACCAGGTCATATTAATTGGTAACACAAACTATTGGAATGTTGACTTCAAAACTATTTTCAATTGGATGCATAAATTATTGGACATGCATGCAATTTTGTTTACTATTTCCCAGTACAAACTACACCCACATGACTGGGATGATGCATCTAAAAAAAAAACAAACCATCACACTATAAATATAAGATTGCTGTAAGGAAGGAATTTGTATAGATGCTTTGACAGTATAAAAGATCTTAGTCGACATAAAACGAAGCACAATTCCACATAACCATAAACAGATGCCCCATTAGCATACCAACAAAAAGAAAATTCCACTTAATGCCAGAATTTCACTTTTTAACTAAATCAGATGTCCATATCAAAAAAGTACCAAGCTACTTTTGAGATAATCCGCAGTGAGGGTAACAAGGGTGGTGCTTAATCTAGCACAAAATCTAAGCTACCTTCCCTGTTTGCAAGAGGAGAAACAGTCAGTCAGCATAACTAGACTGGAAAGAGGGTCACAACAGGAAAGTGAAAGTTTACTTAATTCAAATTGTTCCTGTACATTAGCATACGAGAAGGCGAAACTGTAAGAGCAGCAGAAGTAATTCATTTAAAATAGTTGTATGAAACTATGAATAGTCACAGCAGCAAAGAGAAACCACCCACAACCAGAAGAATCAAAAGCAACTACAAAGTCCTATGCAGGAATGTGGGTTAATCTCATAAACTCTGAGTGTCTAGAAGCTCTTAGATTAATCTAAAAGACAGACAGACCAACCAACCAACCTAAAGATGATGAAAGACACTGCATATAAAGAACATATAAAGAACAGTATTGAGAGCAAAGTACAAGGGTAGTCTTTTTTGTTGATCTAACATAATCTAAGGACCAAATTCAAGCAACATGAAGACTTAACTCCTACAGACTTCATGCTGTACCAGTTTACATAAGGGCTTGCTTTCAAGGTAGAAATGCAACCGTCTCCTAAAATACTGAAGACACCTACATGCACCTATACTACCCCAAAGGTTCATTTGTTATGAGACCTTGTAATTGGAAGAAAAACACCTGTTCATCCCCTGCCTAGAAAAGGGGTTTGGTTCCAAAACAAAAAACCCCAAAGCATTATAATAAAATATTTTAGACTCATTTTCATTTAGGTAAAAATAAAAAATTTTTGATGATTGACCACAAGATGAACATGAGCCTTCAAGGTGATGCTGCAGCTAGTAAAGCAAGCAAAACACTGGCTTGCATTCATAGATGCTTCTCAAGTAAATCCCGGGATGTCATTCTCCCATTGTACCGGCCTCGGTGAGGCCGCAGCTGGAGTACCGCGTCCAGTTTTGGGCTCCGCAATTCAAAAAAGATGTGGAGAAGCTTGAGAGAGTACAGAGGAGAGCCACCTGCATGATCAGAAGTCAGGATAACAGACCTTACGATGAGAGGCTGAGAGCCATGGGACTCTTCAGCCTGGAAAAGTGCAGGCTCAGGGGTGATCTGATGGCCACCTATAAGTTTATTAGGGGTGTTCACCTGGATCTGGGGGAACGTCTGTTCACCACAGCGCCTCAAGGCGAGATTGTATGGTAACAAACTGCTCTGCGACCATTTCAGGCTGGACATAAGGAAGAACTTCTTTACTGTCTGAGCCCCCAAGGTTTGGAATAGACTGCTGCTGGAGGTGGTTCAAGCACCCACTTTGAACGCCTTCAAGACACTTTTGGATGTTTATCTTGCTGGGATCCTATGATCAATGCTGACTTCCTGCCCCTGGGCAGGGGGCTGGACTCGATCCTCCGGGGTCCCTTCCAGCCCGAATGTCTATGAAATCTATGAAATTACCACAGGCTTAATTCAAAAGATATTACTTAGTGAGAGTTCTCTGTTTTCATAGATTTCATAGACATTAGGGGTAGAAGGAACCTTGCAAGATCATCAGGTCCAGCCTCTGCACAAGGGGCAGGAAGTCAGCTAGGGTCAAAGGATCCCAGCAAGATAGGCATTCAAATGTTTCTTGAAGGTGTCCAGAGTAGGTGCTTGCACCACCTCTGGAGACAGTCTGTTCTAGGCCTTGGGGGCTTGGACAGTAAAGAAGTTTTTCCTTATATCCAGCCTAAAATGGTCTTGCAAGAGTTTGTGACCATTGGACCTTGTCATCCCCAGGAGTGCTCTGGTGAACACACGTTCCCCTGGATCCTGATGAACACCCCTTAGGCTGCCACTAAGTCACCCCTGAGCCTGCGCTTCTCCAGGATGAAGAGTCCTATGGCTTGCACACTCTCTTCATAAGATCTGTTCTCTCTTGCCCTCTGATCATGCACGTTGCTCTTCTCTGGACTCTTTCAAGCTTCTCCACGTCCTTCCTGAATTATGGAGCCCAGAATTGGATGCAGTATTCCAGCTGCGGCCTCACCAAGGCCGAGTACAGCAGGAGGATGACATCTTGGGTCTTGCTTGAGATGCATTGGTAGATGCAAGCCAGAATTTTGTTCGCTTTGCCTGCTGCAGTATTGCATTGGTGGCTCATGTTTATCTTGTGGTCAATCATGACCCCCAAGTCTCTTTCAGCCATAGTGCTAGTGAGTGTAGCACTGCTGAGCCTGTAAGTGTGATGCGGCACCTTGCTCCAAGATGGAGCACCTTGCATTTCTCCATATTCAATGCCATCAAGTTTTCATCCACCCATCCTGCAAGTCTATCAAGGTTGGCCTGGATCACCAACCTATCTTCAAGTGTGGACATTCTTCCCCAAAGTTTGGTGTCATCAGCAAACTTAGCCAGTCTGCTTCTGACACCAGTGTCCAGATAGTTTTCAAGTAATATCAGAACAGAGGGGGAAAAAAAAAAAAAAAAAAAAAAATCAAATCCTCAGTCAAAGAATATGGACTGAATGAATATGGAAACTAAGTCTCATAGGGTGGTACTACCAACACGTGAGTACAGAAATTTGTCCGGCAGCATGAGGAAGCTGGCACCATTGCTGCTTCATACTATATTAAGTTCTGGAGATAGAGAAGATTATTCCAGTTCCATTTACTGAGCTAGCATCTTTCAACAGTACTAAAAATTCACTACTATGTTGGTACTAAGGCTCACTTTGAACTCAGTATTTTGTAAATTAAGCTGGCATTTATACTGAGGGGAAATAAAACAAAAACTAAAAACAATGAATGTCACATACCACAATTTTGAGGGGGCCATATTTTTTCTCCTGAGCAGCTAAAGCATTCTTAAAAGGAGTTGGAGTTCTTGGTGTAGTACCCAGCAAAGACCTTCTAATTGTTGGAGTTCTAAAACTAAATAAGCAGAGAAAGATGTACACATTAACTGTTAGTGCTGCTAAACCAGTTATATGATAAATCTGAAAATGAATTATATTAGACAAGCATTTTTAAAAAGCTTCAGATTTTGACTGCGTATCTGTATTGTATATTGAATAAACAAGGAAGTAATGAGCTATACCATGCATTAAACCAAGTATACCTAGATTAAGTTAAATTTAGTACAGCATTAAAAAAGGTAGAGATTTAAAGGATATAATTTTTTGTTAGTTAAATCAAAAAGAAAAAAAAAAGGTCAACTTATGTTTGCATACAAAACACATTAAACACAGCTGTACAGTTTCCAAGTCTTGCTTTTATTTTAACATCACAGCCTTAAATATAAAAACTTACCCTGCATTTTCTTTCTGATCTTTCGGTGTCATTTCCTTGTGGAGAGGAGTTGTGATAAGGACCTTCTGTCCACAAATTGGAGTGGATGTAAATGCAGGATTTTCAAGGTTGAACTGTTCATTTCCAGAGCATGTATTGAAAAACTAAATAAAGATAAAAAATATCCAGTAAATTAATTTACCATAGTCTCCTATGCTGTTGCTCAAAATAGCAACTAATTGTTTTATATGTGATTTATCTAACAGTTTGGTTTTTAAATTACACTCTATACTCCTCTGTCCTAAAATGTGGTCATTTTACTACTGGCACTTGAACTGGTTATGCTCTAGAGCCATGGCTATGTCCAAATCACCACATTTTATGGAAAGAAAGGTGTAGTTTAACCACCTTGTACTAAGGTAAAAGTCAGTCCAAGAAATCAACAAGTTTTCCAATCTTCAGAAACCCATTTCTTCCATTTTAAAGGGTTAACAGGTCTTTTAAAAAAATCTGATAAAAGAGGTTTCCTAATGCACTCAACTAAGCCAATATGTATTTAAAAGCACAACCTGTAATTTATCTTCTCAATCCTGACCTCTGAGGTTATGTTGAAAGAAAAAAAAACCCAACAACACACATAATGCAATACAATACACAGCAAAATGGGTATTACCTGTGATGGGGAAAAGGGTAGTGTTTTCACTGGTGTTTGTTTTAGTGCAGCATTGACAGCATCATTAGAAAAGCCATCATTCATTTCATTCGCTGGTGACTGTCCAACTCTTAATCTTTTTTTCTTCCTCAGGATTGTAGGTGGAGTGCTGAACTTGGCTATAGTAGGAGGTGGAGAAAGAATCGCCTCCTCTTCTCCACTGCTACTATTATTTTTTTTTCCATCAAACATAACATTAACATTGAACTGGCACTCTGTTGCCCCTTCATTGTGCTGAATCCGCATTAATTTTACTGGAGCAGGCTTAACAGGGGAGGTAGCAGCTTCTGAAAGGTCAAAGCTGGTAACATCACTCCAAGCTACTGGATCCTAAGGGATAAGGATAGGAGACATTCAGACAGGAAACAGCCTCTCATTTGCTTTAAATTTTGAATTATGTAAAAGTGATCTCCTCCCCACGCACCCCCCCCCCCC